AGCCATCTGGTTCCCAACTCAGATATCCTCAAGATGATTTCTGTGTTCCTTTCCTGACATTGTGAACACCTCCAGAGGGGGGAAAAACTATCATACTAGTAACTGGGGTTCACAATAACAAAAAGGTCAAAGTTGAGTCACAGAATATCAGAGCTGGAAGAGCTCTCAGAGATGCATCAAGTTAGGGGCACCGGGGTGGCTCAGTGGCTCAGTCAGTTAAGCATCTGACTCTTGGTTTCAGCTCGGTCATGATCTCACGGTTTGTAAGAATTCTCTCTCTCCCTCTCTCTTTCTGCCTCTCCCCCACTCTCACTGTCTCTGTCTGTCTGTCTCTCTCTCTCTCAAAAAAAAAAAAAAAAAAGCATCATGTTAAAGCTCTTAAGCTCTCATTTTTTAGAAGAAACCAACTAGTCTCAGAGAACTTAAGTAAGCACAAACTCACAGTTTCACCTGAAGAGGCTGTCAGAGCTAAGAAAATAAGGCTGGGAGCCCGAGTGCTCATCACCACCGCCTCTTTTCCAACTGCATTATGCATTGAGGCTGCTATTTAGTAAGTGATGACACAATAATCAGTCTTCATAAATATTCCATTTAAAAAAGAAAAAGTTATTTCTTTTAAATATTGGAGCTTGAGGAGCAGTATCTTCCTGTTATCTTTAAAAATCACTTCTGTGAAATGTCTCATACCCTTAGGAAATGAGGTAAATGCGCTGTTGCTATATGCTAAATTTTTTTACTACTGCAGACAAACAGGTCACCCATTTCTTGCTCTCTTTGACTAATCTCAGGGAAGAAAATGAGCTAGAGAAATTTGTGGCTGAGCAACACACACTTTGCGCCTCTGAAATGGATGGAGGTGACTTAATTTTCTCATGGCAGTCTGGGGGTGTCAATTAGAAATGAAGGAAAGGTCAAAATGAGAAAGCAGAAATGATTAAAATACAGGGGAAATTAACCTGAGTGCCAGAGACTCATCACTGAAGCTGAAAAGGAAAGTAGGCAAAGTGGAGGAGAAGCAGAATGGGAATCATCTTGGTATTAAATCGGGAGAAAATACAGGCAGAGAAGGAACGCATTCATGAGCCAGCTCCTTTTTCACTTCTCAGGCCTTAACAACTGGGTTTCATCACCGCTGCTCAACTGCGATTGCTTTTGCTTCAGATCATGTAGCCTCTTGTCTGACCTGACCACCTGACCACCCCTGTCAACAGTGTGACATGGGAGAGGAGAAAATCCCAAGTAGTGCAAAAGAATTAGGAAAGCTTAGATTATCTTCTAAATATCTGTAAGTATTATAATGGCATTAGTAATTTGAAAAAGATTAATTTAAAAAAAAAGAGGGAGGGAAGTTGGGAGGTAGGAAGGAAGGAAAGGCAAAGTACTTACTGTTTTCTCTTCTGACAGTATACTTTCTAGACTTTTCTCTTGAGCATCCTCCTCAAGGAATTGCATGCTCTAATCTGCTTCTTTCCGAGCTCCAAACCACTTGCCTGCTGCAACATCTAGATTTCAGATATTAGTGAATTGAACCTTAGCCAGAAATGTCATCAGAAGTGGGAGCACCCAGGGGCACCTGGCTGACTTAATAGGTTAAGCATCTGACTTCAGCTCAGGTCATGATCTCAGGGTTTGTGAGTTCGAGCCCCGTATCAGGCTCTGTGTTGACAGCTCAGAGCTTAAGCCTGCTTCGGATTCTGTCTCCCTGTCTCTCTGTCCCTCCCCAGTGCTCTCTCTCTCTCTCTTTCTCTCTCTCTCTCTCAAAAACAAATTAACATTAAAAAGAAGGAGGGGGAGAAGGAGAAGAAGAAGAAGGAGCACCCAAATGCTCTGGCTCTGATCAGTATTTCTGCTTTTTGCCACAGGGCTTACTTTACTGGAGAGTCACTTAGCTACAACTCAAGCAGCAGCCAGGGCCACAAGCAGCCTTCAAAGTGATGAGGCTGAGTTACAGTGTAAAAGCCCTAAAGGGAAGTGACACTGTGCTCGTAATGGAGGTTTAGGAGATAGAGTGGAGATAGAGAATATATGCAGAAGTAGAAACTCAGATCCTGTACCACTTTGGGCCATAAGTACAATGTTCAAATACATGAGGTAGACTCAATTAAAATCAATCAATTTTTCAGAAATGGCCTAATTATTCAAACTGATGGAAGTTGTACGGTACCAATCATATATTCTTTTGCTTTAGATCGTACAGTCTCTTCTCAGACCTTACCTGACCGGTCCCTTCAACAGTGTAGTATTGGCCACTCCCTTTTTCTTGAAGCTCTTTCTTTTTAAAAAAAAAATTTAAGTTTATTTATTTATTTATTTTGAGAGAGAGAGAGAGAGAGAGAGTACGTGCACACACAAGTGGAGGAGGGGAGGAGGGAGAGGGAGAGAGAGAATCCCAAGCAGGCTCCGCACTATCAGCGCAGAGTCCTACATGGGGCTCGTACTCACAAAGTGTGAGATCGTGGCCTGAACGGAGGTCAAGAATGGGAGGCTTAACCGACTGAGCCACGGAAGTACCCTGAAGCTCTTTCTTTCTTAATTTCTATAATTTTTCTTTCTTCTGGTTCATCTCCTGTGCTTTGATACTTCTTTATCACTTCTCAGGCTCCTCCCTCACATTTTGACCTATCTGTCAAAGTTGCCTAGAGTCCGGCTCTTTACTTTCTTTCTTCTTCTCTCATTTCATTCATACAGTGTAGAACAGATTCTTTGGGGTAACTTCATCCACATGCTGATACTAAGAGATTCAGAAATTCCAAGTTCCACCTTCAGGTAAGGCAATGTCGAGAGGAAAAAGCGAACCATCTTTTCCCAGGCTTCTTTTTCATGAGTGGATAAACTTTTCCCTGGAAGCTAATTGGGATATTCTCTGTCATATTTAATTGGCAAAATGAGACTACATGTCAACAAATAACCGTTGGACCAATGACAGACAGAAAGGATGGAATTTCTGTGGTGCCTAATACTAATTGTCTTGAGAAGGGATGATATTTGTCAGAGTTCTAGTAGGAGAATTTAATAAAAGACATTTTGCTCAAGTGTGGCTAGAATGTAGGAAAACCACAGGAATAGTAGGGTTCCCTGGGTCTAGGTACAGGGTGCCCACAAAAGAGGCAGGGAGTTTTCCCATTCTTAGATGTGAAAGGGAAAAAATGGAGAGAGCTGTGTGAGGAGAAACTCTCAGTCAATATGTGGTCTTTGGCACAATTATTTTTGATGGAATTTGTCGATCTTTTGTTGATTTTTAACGCAATCCTGTACCCAGCATATAAATGGACTCTATTTTTATAGTTTGTGGATTTTCCTGTGTGTGTGTGTGTGTGTGTGTGTGTGTGTGTGTGTGTTTATGCATCTCATTATCTCATCTGTAAATAATCACACACTGTCTCTTCCCTTCCAATCTATATACATTTTAGTTCTTTTTCTAAAATTACTGAATTCACCAGGATCTCTGTGCTATATTGAAAAGTAGTAGTAATAGCAGGTACACAAGGCTTATTCCAACTTAAACAGAATGCGTCTAAATATTCTCCATTATGTTTGCTATTTTCTGAAGGTTTTTATTAAATAACCTCATCATCTCCTTTCTATTCCCAGTGGCTCTTCTTAGTTTAATCCATCATTATCTCTCCCCAAGAACATTGCAGTAGCCTCCTATAACTAATTCATCTACCTCCAGCTTCACCCCTACAAATTCATCTTCTGCATTGTGATCAAGGTAATATTTATGAAATGCAAATCTGATCAACACTCTACATGCTTAGAATTCTTCATTAGTCCTGCAAAATGTATAGAACACACATGTGCACATTCCTGAGGGGGAAAAAAAATCAACCCTCTTATATTAAACATCACTCGATCTTTTATAACTTGCTGTTCTTTAGAAGAGTATATAGGGTTTGGGCAAAATGAGAATACAGTAACAGTTACCAGACAAGTCCTGTACCCCTTTTTAAATTTTTTATGTTTATTTATTATTTTTGAGAGAGAGGGAGAGACAGAGCATGAGCAGGGGAGGGGCAGAGAGAAAGGGAGACACAAAATCCAAAGCAGGCTCCAGGCTCTCAGCTTTCAGCACAGAGCCCGACACGGGGCTCGAACTCACAAACCGTGAGATCATGACCTGAGCCAAAGTAGGACGCTCAGCCAACTGAGCCACCCAGGCACCCCTGTACCCCTTTTAATTCTAAGTTGTCACTGTCCTTCACAGATAAACTGCTGAGAGGTTAGGGCTTCACAGGATTTCTTTCCCATGTTTATCCCAAGAATCCTCCTGCCCTCACATTACAAGTTCTATCCCTATTGCCTGTGTGTCACAAAGTCTCCATTCCAGGGCTGACAAAATCCAAATCTTGAATGGATCTTAGGTTGTAGTCTCATAGAAAGAAAGTCTGTGATTTTTTTCCAGTTTTATTCAGATACACCTCTGTACACATTTAAGGAGTGGTTTGCACAATGGGTTGACTTTCATGCTTTATGAAGTGATTACCACAGTAAGTTTATTTTTTAAAATAATATTTATTATCTCGCCATCTCCATGGGTGAGGAGTCTGGCATGTCATAGCTGGGTTCTGTGTTTGGGGCCTGAAATGATTGAAATTGAAATGTCCTTTGGGCTTGTGTTTTACCTGAAACTCAAGATCCCCTTCCAAGCTCTCTTGGAACCTTGATATAATTTAATTCCTTACAGCTATACGACTGAGATCTGTATTTCCTTTTCTTTAATTTTTATTTATTTTTTAGCTTCATGTTTTTATTTAAATTCCAGTTAGTTAGCATACAGTGTAACATTCGTTTCAGGTGTAGAATTTATAAACATCCGTCATCCTATATCGATACAATAAAAAGAAAAGGCAGAAAAAAAGAACAAAACTTCTTTCCTCCTTATGACGAGAACTCTTAGGATTTACGTTTCTTAACATCTCTCATGTATCCCATATAGCAGGGTTAACTACAGTCATCATGTTGTACATTACTTACTTATTTTACAACTTTCTTTTGGCCAGAAAGCCTGTGATTTCATCATGTGAAGGAACTGAAATGTGATGAGCAGCCCAACCACCAGCCAACGAGATTTCCCTCCTTCCTTCCTCGGTAAGCAACATAGTTTTCGATTAAATTCTATGTCTTTGGTCTCATTTTTCATGACACCCTCTTTCTAGCCTAAGCTATTTCAGATTCTCCTTTTGCACGTCAAGCTTTTGTAATATCAATGTACAGATGTTTCTATACTATAACAAGCTATGCCAGGCTAGGCCTCCTGTGTTTTCATGTTTCCCAAGCCTAAAAGCCTGTTCACTTTCCAACCTCCAGTTTCTATGTCATTTCTTCCAGGATCTCCCAACCCTAGGGAGTAAAGATTCCTTTCACTGTATAATTTCTCTATGTTTTACACATTTTATTGTGGTTTTTACTATATTATAAATTCTTCTCTAAGACTGTCACACACAATTTGGCCTGGAGGTGGCTTGAGATAGCTTTTCATGAATAAATGAATGAATGCATGGATGAATGCGTGAATATCTCAATTAGTGCTTTTTAAGCTTATTTATTTATTGAGAGAGACAGAGAGAAAGCACTAGCAGGAGAGGGCCAGAGAGAAAGAGGGAGACAGAGAGAATCCCAAGCAGGCTCTGTGCTGACAGAGGAAAGGCAGATGGGGGACTCAATCCTATTAACTGTGAGATCATGACCTGAGCCAAAATCAAGAGTCATGCTTAATAGATTGAGCCACCCAGATGCCCCATCAATGAATGTTTTTGAGGCTCAGACTTGGCACACTTCTTGGCACATGATTGATATTCTGTACACATTTCCTTCCTCTGGTTCACTGGGCAATTTCATCAGGCTTCTGTCATCCAAAGCCATCCCAAGAAGACCACGAAGAGAGCTGTGAGGGGCAAAGCAGGGTCAGTTACTCAGGGACATACCAAACTGGATCATGGGAATATTTAATTCCTCAACAGCTTGTGAACTACTGGCACCGTTATTCTGAGGGATGAGAATAAGGCAGGTCATTTCATGTCTGTCGCCTCACCAATGCCAGGGAGCTCTCATTTTAGAATCATCCAGCTGGAGGAGGTAAGAGCTCAGAGCAAATGATGCCCCCCGGCCTGAATGTGGGGCTGAAGAGTTGTCTAGGCAGCCATACTATTTAGGAGGGTGCAGAGGCCTGGGGAAGCTATTGAGAGCTAAGAGATAAAGTTTCTAACTCTGCACTAGCTTTGAAATGGGAGAAGCAACAGCCAGGCATTTTACTAGATGAAGTGTGCTAAAGTGCCTCGTTTTAATTATCACAACAGGTCTGCAAAGTCAATATTATTCCCATTTTATAGATGAAGACCCTAGGGCTGAGTGAAATTAACTCATTTAATGAAGGTTATTAGATAGTAACTTTCTAGGCCACATTACAAAATTAGGTCTGGTCTTCCTCCAAAGAATTCACTGTTTATAGTTCTTGTTTTCTTAGCCCTGTATTACAACACACTTTAGAAAGCAAAAGTCGCTTCAGCTCACACCGTCCTCCCTCCACTCGCCAGTATACCTCAACTAGCAGCATATTACAGCAAAATATATCAAGCTATTTCTTAAAAGAGGGAACTCAGCAAGCATTTAATGCCAGATGTCATACAAACTGACCACCCACCTTGCACGCACTGAAAAGCAAAGAACGAGAGCAATTAGACTGGTTATTGATGTCAGTCAGACTAAAGAAAAGAGGCAAGAAGGTGGTATGATACTCTTAAAAGAGGGTAGCTTCAGTTTAAAAACGTGAATCAGAATTTAAGCTAAACTTTAATTTCTGTAATTTAGTGAATAAAAAGGAAATTAAATTTCTATTCATATATAGTTCAAAAAAGGTTTTGATTGTCATATTTTTATGTTGCATAGAAATACAAAATTGGGAATTCATTCAGATTTGCTTAATTCAAGGCTGTCCCATGAAAGAGATACTTGATGTGTTTTGCTTGACCGCAGTGGCAGGACCAACACCAGTGAATGGAAGCTTTGGGGAGGATAATAAAACACTCTGCAGTAGATAGTGTTGTCCAAAGAGGGAATTAGTTGCTTCCAGCCTCCTCAGAAATACTCAAGAGCAAGTCGTACAGCTAGGGTGTTTCAAGAAGTCACAAACTCAAGTGAGATTGAATGAAAGGATCTCTGTGTGTCTTTCTCAACTGGTGTTTCTTTGGTTCCAGACGAGTCAACAGGATTTCCACTTCCTCTAGTATTGGTGAACCATTATACATTTGTTAGGAAATGAGGTGCTATTATATTAGTGTTTATCATTGTAGTATCCAAGTATTTTGTTTGCATCTCCAGTCTCCATCTTGCCCTACATTAATATTCAATATTAGTGGAAGGTCTTTCCCAGTAATAACTAGATCCAGTTGAGTATTCTGTACTATGGTGCGCTTTAATGATCTTGAAGAACAAGTCTAGTGCTAGGCTTACCTAAATATTTCTAAAATACAAAGTCAAACTTGGAGAATACAGTCATAATTTTTTAAGAAGTCATAATACTTCTAATATTGCTTTTGACAGAAATTTGAAATCCATTTCCACTCCCATATTATTGGACATCACCCCAATTCCTATCTTATTTTTGAAAATCTATGTTTACATCTGGCAGTTGACAAGCCTTAGATTTATCTCTGTTGCTTATTTTTATACATCTACATAATCTTAAATCTGAAGAAACAAAACTTTTCTCATCCTCTTATTTGTACAGATGATAAAATTTATACCCAAAGTATTTGAATGTCATATATAAGGCCACACTCTGCTGTTCAAGGATAAAATTTCATATAGAATTCTATTTCCTAATTCTTAGTCTGTTACGTGTGTGTGTGTGCGTGTGTGTGTGTGTGTGTGTGTGTGTGTGTGTGTGTGCACACATACAGTAGTCCTCCCTTATCCACAATTTCACTTTCTGCAATTTCAGTTACCGGCTGGCAACCAGTCTGGAAGCAGGTGATCCTCTCTCTGAGGAATCCTCAGAAGTCTAATAGTAGTGTAGCACTACATCACAATACCTCCATCATTCACCTCACCTCATCTCATCACATAGGCCTTTTATCATCTCACATCGTCATAAGAAGAAGGGTGAGTGCAATACCATAAGGTATTTTGAGAGTCAGAAAGAGACCACATTCACAAAGCTTTTACTACAGTGTATTGTTATAATTGTTCCACTTTATTATTAGTTATTATTGTTCTTTTAATTTTTTTAAAGTTTATTTATTTACTTTGAGAGAGACAGAGAGACAGAGCATAAGTAGGGGGAGGAGCAGAGACAGAGGGAGAGAGAGAATTCCAAGCAGGCTTCACACTGTCAGCTCAGAGCCCGAAGGGGGGGCTCAAACCCACAAACCATGAGATCATGACCTCAGCCAAAATCAAGAGTCAGATGCATAACCCACTGAGCCACCCAGACTTCCCTATCAGTTATTATATATATA